AATTTATATACATATTTACAGTACTATTTACAATTTCATGGGGACTGGATGGATAAGAAATAATTGAACAGGCGGGTTTTAAAGGTAGGAAGAGTTTTGGATTGACGGATGTCGGGTGGGATGGTGTTCCATAGGGATGAGGATCGGATAATGAAAGATCTGTCGAAAGCAGCAGTTCGGTGGGCCCTTATGTATAAATCAGAAGACCGGGAACGAGTATTGCGGAAACGGACAGAAGATTTGAATTGAAGGAGCTCGGTGATGTATGAAGGACGGTGAGATTGGATGACCTGAAAGAGGAAGGATGCCAGGAAATACTTACGACAGTAGGAAGGATAAAGCCACTTCAACTCTGCATAAAAACGGGAAACAGAGGCGTCCCTTGGGATTCCGAAGATGAATCGTACAAAGAAATTTAACAAACGTTTTAATTTTGCCTCGAGATCTCCAGAGACGCCCCCATATACCGTGCAGCAATAGTCAAAGTGGGGAAAAATCAAGGAAGTTACTAGGAGCCTACGGGTTTCAAGGGGAAATAGGTGACGGGAGTAATTTAGACGTTTTAAGGTGGAAATGGTACGGCGGTAGATGTTGGATATATGATTTTTTCCAGGAAAGCGTTTGATCAAAGATCATTCCAAAGTTTTTGATGGAAGGATAGAATTTGATGGGATTATCATGTAGGAACAGAGTTGGAATATTAGGAGCAGTTTTAAGGAGGTGATAGAAAATTTACAAAAAATTAAAACATTAATTTGAATTGGAAAAGGTTTAATTTGAAATGGAAATGGTTGAATTTGATTTGGAAAAAGTTTAATTTGATCTGGAAGAGGTTGAATTTGACTTGGAAAAGGTTGAATTTGACTTGGAAATAATTGATTATGACATAGAAATATTACTCTGAAAAAATGTAAAATGTTAAAATAAATGGATATGCAACCGCGTTATCATATATATATATATATATATATATATATTTTTTTTTTTTTTTTGTATTTTTCAAAAGATATGCCTTCGATAATATAGTAAGTGGCCTTCATTTCGAAAAAAATCGAAAATTGACAAAAATTCAAAAGTTGAATTTGAAATGGAAAAGGTTGAATTTGACTTGGAAAAGGTTGAATTTGACTTGGAAAAGGTTGAATTTGAAATGGAAAAGGTTTAATTTGACTTGGAAAATGTTGAATTTGATGTGGAAAAGGTTGACATTGACTTGGGAATGCTATATATTGCTATTTCTCATGAAACCCAACTTCAATTTAACCTCAGTAGAAGTTGAAGATATGGAGGTATTACCTACTCCAGACACAACAAGAGGACTAACCCGGGAACGAAGGTGCTACTTTATCATTAGATCAGTGGTAATTAAATTAATTTGTGAACCTGGATCTATCACCATTCAGCATGAATACCACTGATCTGAATTTGAACAAATTCTATTTAAGGCAGTATCCAGTAGTACCTGTGAGTTGGTGGTAGCATGGCACGAATCTGCAAGAGAATTGTTTCTTACTTCAGACTAAGAGGGCTCAGTTTTCGCAGCCGTATGTAACATCGTATGGTGACTCTTTTTACAAGAAACTTGGCAGCAGCCTTTGCTTTGGCAATTCGGCGATGAGGTACCGTACAAGAAAAGCATAAATCAGACTTCTTTAGCAGGCCAAAAAGACCATTAACATCTGCATCTAGAAACTGTGGACATAGACTGGACTGGACATTCTAACTTAAATGTCTGCTTATCCGGTCTATTGCTTGTTAAAAATGTTTTTCGCTGAACTCTAGGTTGGGTGGGTTTGCATGTAGAAGTCTCAGAACACATTTATGCGATTCTAAGTTGTGACCTAACAAATTCAGGATCTGTCAAAGTTAGGAAATGTTTCTTCGCGGAGACTATTCTCTAACATTCTTCTTATATTTGGGTCTACTACGTTCAGTCCGAGATGCAGTAAATCAAAATCAGCGTGGTTATTTAGTTTAAGACTTTATAAGGCATTGCAATTATCTTCAAATGTGCCCAGAAAGCTTCTAAAGTTGGAAGAATTATCAACAGAAAATGGTTTAAACCGTATTATTTTGTTAAAATGAAAGGCTGGAATGATCATTTTATTACTATTACGCTTTACTAATTTATCATAGGCCAAGCTGTAATTTTCTGCGTTGAACTAAATTGAAGAAATGCCTGTGAAGCAGGATGAACTAAAAGTGACTTGAGATATGAAAATTTTACTATATCTGTTGTAATTTCGTTGATGAACTATGTCATCAAATAATGATTTAAATGAAGGAATTAGAGTGCTACCATTGGGTAGTTACTCAGCAAGTGTATTCATGTCATTATATCTATTATGTCCAAATTTACTTGATGTATTTATGTAATACAGTTGTAAATGTCATTAAGAAATAAAAAAAATGAAGGAAATTGTTCGTATTGTCCGAAAACTTGAGGAATTTGTAAATCTGGCAATTTAGGATACGCTACTGGTTCAGACACGGGTTGAGAGGAGGGAACTATGTGCTCAGCTTTAATTAATTACTCATGCGCAACTTTTATCTCAGAATAAATTTCCTACGCCGCTAAAGACGGTGCGTTTACTTCTATCCTATGTTCCTCTTCTAAAGTTCATTTAGCACCGAAATCTTGTTCAATACACTTCAAACTCCTCCAGTTGTGCTTTAATTTCTGAAGCCTTAAGCATAAAAATTTCTTTTCTAACAGGGAGACCCTTAATCATATCTAATGTGGTTTGAATCCTAAGAAACATCCTTTCCTTTCTATCATCCATAGCTTTAAGTCCCTCAGTTACTCTTTGTCGGCGCCATCCTCAAAGTTGTATTCAAAGCCATCCTCTCCAATTTTAATCAAATAAATTCATAGTTCAGTAAAGCAGGCCCTTTATTAAAAATAAATTCAAAGTTCAGCAGCAAACAAGCAAGGATTAACGTAAATATTAACGAAGTTACTTAATTCCAGCAAGTCACTATGTGTTCTTTCCTGAAAATTCCTGGAAACTTATCTGGAAACTGCTTGACTTCCCCAAATACGTAACGAAAGCATTAGACCTATTAGATAAGATGTATTCTAAAATACCGAATTAATAGGCGAAATACGAATATTAGTCCGGAATTATACGATTTTCACAAAAAAAATACGAACATCAGCCCGGAAATAGACGATCTTTACATAACCTATCTGACAGTTTTCCTTCTTTAAGTATGGCAAAACATCGCGAATAGGGCAACAAAACTATTTAATCGTGTCCAATGGACCAAAATGTTTCGGCAACTTTTCAAACTTCAAATTAAGGCAAGGAAAATAACTCTCATTAGTTCTTAATAGGCAACATTCAAATTATGGGCAACATTCTACTGTTTTATGCAGTGAACTGTATTTTAATTAATTGGTAGGTTATACGAATTGTGCAAAAACAGCTTAAAACATCTCTTTACCTGAGGTCGCCCTCGGAGCATCTGTTGTCTCTGTGGATATTAGTTCTGGAATGCGGCTGAGTGCACTGTCGCTCGTACGGATTAAGCGTTATCGTTTAGATCTTCTGATCTGCTCCCTCCACTCGCCATAACGAGGAAATTTGGAACTATTTTCGCACAAACAGACATGTTTACTGATCTTCAGATTGAAAACGCACCAATTCTGAGAATTTTCGTTGTAAAAAGTTGTAATTTATGATAGAGTGAAGCCAGCCGCGAAGTTTTTGGTGGATGTTAATAATTTGATAAAAATAGGCCTGTACCGCGGACTAGAATGCCAAATAAAAGGCCAATTAAGTCTAAATTAAATCAAATGCTGAATGTCAGAGGCCAAAATACTAGCTCAAGTCAAATTCGGTAGTCCGTCATGTTTGAACGCCATTTTGAGAGAGTGCATATACTTTTTATTTAGCAAATATCGGCTTCTTTTTAGTTAATACTAGCAAGGCAGAATGTAGAATTTTTAAGGATGTGGGGAGGAGTGTTAGGCACTAGCGAATCCAGGATTTAATTTTGGGATAGGGGGGCTTCATCCCAAAACCTTTTTTATCTCATAAATATATAACGATAATTACTTTGGAGAAAAAAGAAAGATACTAACTACCTATATGAAATGGTGTTTAAGTGATTCTTGAAGTCCTATTAAATGTAATTACACGAACAATAATACTTCAAGAGATTATTTTTAACATAAAACATGGTTACATTTTACCATTTTGGGGGGAGGCTTCAGCCCAAAAGCTCCCTCATCTTCGTAGATCCGCCTGTGTTATGAGGACTGCTTTGGAAGTATTTGTTTTTACAAATTAATATTAACAAAGAAGAATGTGGAACCCACCCTATGTGGATAGGGTGGTCTGTCCTACTGAATATCGTTGCCTTATAAGCTGTACAATACACAACGACGCGTTCGGTGGTCTCCGTAGCAACTTAGAATTTATATCCTTTTCGTATTAAACAAGATCAAACAACTAACTGAAGTCAAATTCGCTAGTCTGCCATGCTTGAATGAGGTTTTTAAACAGTGTGGCCACTTTTATTCTGCTAACGTTAGATTTTTCAATTAATTATTACAAGAAATACAAAGATGTGCAATTTACATAAATATGTTTGGGAGGGGAGAGCACGGTAGGAGGGTCTGGTCCAGCGTTTATGAGGGCGAGGGCTAAACTCCTCAAAAAAAGTTTTATTTCTGTTATGACATCGCATTCCATAGCTAATGACCATAAAGAACTACACGTTGTACAGGGACTTCGTTTACTGGTAGAAGGATATAAGAGGCCCGATTTACTTCTAAGCCGCAACCATATATAGCGATCTTTGATAAGAATGATAAAAAAAGATGGAGGATATGAAAGATGTTGGCCTATGCGCAGCCCGTTCATAGCTCTGCATTACAATATTTTTCTCCTTTTATTGTTTCCATAATCATAAAAATTCTATTAAAATTTACAATAAGAATTACGTATATAATGAGGAATTTTATCAGCAGTTATGATCCACTGCTCTAGTATCTCAGTTCAGTCACAACTCATATTGCCTTTAAGGCAAGAAGGGGATAAAAAAACAACTAATTTTGTGACATCTTGATAGTCGCACCTTTTACATAAAGCTCAAAGTTCCTGGAATTACCTCTATGGTGTATTTCTCTAGTTGTGATATTTTTAATTTTCATAGATACTGTTGTTTATAGTGTCTTTTATAATAGCAATGAAAAATTCTTTAGTATTGCGTGCTGCTCAAGTAATATTTTGTTTATAACTTTTTCAAATTATTATTTATTGTCTAATTGATCACACTATGTTAAATTTTTAGGCCCTGAAACCCCACATACCCTTAATCAAATTCAGAAAAGGTCAACATGTGGTTAATACTCCAGGTTTGTTTAGTTTATTTATTTTTGTTAGCATTAAATTATTACTATAGCTTTATGAAGTTCTGTCAATACAATTAAGGTTGGTTCAATTCTATTAATTGGTTTAAAATTTATCTCTTTTGAACAAACAGGGTCAGATTGAAGAGACAACACTTTTTACAGATAAAAGAATACCTCTTTTACTTGATTTTTCTGCGGTAAAATGGATTTAATTATTTTTTTGCTTGCAGCCTTTTCATTGGAACATATATGTAAGTTTTACGCTGTATTCAGTAAAACTTCTCCATAGCGGATATCTGCAGGAATTCAATTTCTGTCTCCTATAGCGAGATATAGGAAAAAAAATTAATAATGAAGACATAAGAAAATATAAATTAGTGGGTTTAAATTGTGTTTCATGAATTATGCCATGGCTCTCCTAACTACTACCTGCGGACCGGATCTGGCCACAAGCACCTCCTATCTGCCCTGCAAAAGTTTCTTTGATTACATGGAAAAAATTTTAAAATAGGCAATTTAAAAAAATACTCTCTTACAACATTTATTAAACCTTTATTTTCACCACAAGCAATGGCCTGTGGAAATCAGGTGGAGAGGTCCCAATCTGTCCTGCAGGACTCAAGTGGAGGACTCAATGTGTGACTTAGTGGAGGTCTAAATTTGGCCAACCCACCAAAAAAAGTTTAGTGACCCCTGAATTATGTTAATGACCCTGTTTATTCATTTTATTAACATTTGTCTTTTTAAATTTACAATTTAAGTATGTTTTTATTATAAATAGTATACTTGGTTTAAAAACTGACACTTATACTTCAATATACTCATTTGGATGTGGAGAGAGTACTCTTTCACTATTTACTATTCCATGAAGGAAAAACTTTTTTTACAGAAGTGGAGCTAGTATGTATTACATGACATCGAAACATCAGTTTTGGTGGAAGTGGAGATGTCCGCTCACTTTTTGTAGCTAGCTCCTCAAAAGTAAACATATAAGACGTAAATCTTGTACACAGAAATAAAGTAATAAATTAAAGTTCAAATGTTAATCCTTATTTATTTATTGTATTCTTTGGTTTTACAAATCGTCTTTAAGAGACAAAATCATGGCTACTTTCTTAAAGTATTCTCCTTATACAGTTTTTCAGTAAATTCAATCCAATTGATACCTTAAAATCATTTTGACTCAAATTCTGTGCGATTTTTCTAGCTTTAAGGCCACCATAAACAGAGCGCCATAACTCTTGGCAATACGATACTCTTTGTCTGTATTGCTGTGGATTATCATGCTCTGTTTGACTACTATAATGCAATAGATAGTAATACAACTATATTGCTGTCAGGAATATTGTATTGTGAAGACAATGTTGCTCTCTGTGTGTAAGGGCCTTTATTGTAAGCTTCTTTATAGTGCAATGTTTTTCCCTTTAAAATTTCATAGAACTATGTTTTTGCTATATTTTAGTTATTTCGCAAATGCTAAGAATCCACTTGCACTCACATAAATCATATATATTTTTTTGTTTAAGTTAAATGGGCAGGAGTTAACATATTGCTAATGAATTCTGTAGAAAAAATTAGAATGAAAGATTAAAACCATAATCCCTACTACTAAAGTGTATTCTCAGTATACAAAAGTGAACTAATCTTATTATTAGAATTAGTTTCCAGTATGAGAACCTCACTTATTCCCGGCTATTAGTTGGAGAAAAGCTTAAAATTTATTCAGCCTAAGATTTGTCATCTTATGTTGAATGAATCCTCTTCCCTCTTGCCACCACCATAAACTGTAGAAGATCAAATAATTACATTTTGTTTGTCCCTCCTCTTTGTTCATATAAACATAATTACATTCAATATTTAAATGACTGTTTGTTTATATATTAATACATTTTTATACCTGTTTTTATTTCCAATTTTATTATTTATTGTTCTGTAACACTGCAGTGACATCACATTAGGTTAACCGATGGAGCAAGAATAAGCCATGATCACACTCTGCAAGGGATGCCATATCAAGCTAATTGTGTCTGAAAGGATATGTAGCTAGGCACACTCTGAACATTTGATGTCAGTGTGATCTTGGCCCATTTGCCATCTAGATATGACTCTTCTGAAGTCATTATTTGAAATTGTACAGTTGACTTATCATAATTACAGAATATAATTAAGTATAAAAGTTATAATGAAGGAAATTTAAATTTAATACTTGATGGCTTTGTATTATCTTAGGAAAAGTTTTTTTTTCACACATTTTTTAAACACTCATAAAATATACTAACTTGTTTCTATGCCTGTGATTGGGATAAAACATAACATTCCTTTCAATTCATAATTGATTAATTATTATTTATTCTTTGTATCTTTTCTATATAACTATATCTGTCCTAATAATGTTTTGTTTTTTTTAAATAAAAACTTCACTGAACATCTATTTAAATAAAACTGGTTTAATACTCTATAAAAATTACCTTATGAGTGGTCAGTAAACTCTGGCTCACAAGCAAAATATGACTTTTTGGCCTCTTGAGTCTGGCTTCTGCCAAAAGTGCTACAACTAAATGTTTCGGTCCATTAACCTTGTAATAATTTTACCCTGTACTGGTTGATTAGGTTTTAATTTTACAGGCTAATTTTTTCTTTGAATTAAGACATTTTTTTTCTTCTTGTTATACAATAAAACATTAACAATATAAACTGTTCAAACACCTCAGCATTTTATGATTAATGAAAAGAAAATAGATAAAACTATTATTACTTATTCTTTAGCAAAACCTCCTGTTTCCCAAGGAACTCCAGCATCAGCGCAGGGCCAGCAGTATTATATCATTTCAGAAGAACAACTTCCATTGCGTTTCAGGCGTCAACTATTAGATGAACGACAAATTAATGTTATTAATGTAAGCTTTCACTTTCACTTTACATTTTGGGTTTATTTTCTGGTAACATGTATAGCTTTTTTATTCTTGTAAGTTTTCCATTATAAATCTTGTCACAATGATTATATTGTTGGTGTTCCAGAAAATGGATATCAATATTCTTAATCTGTTTTTAATTAATCGGATCATTTGTTTTTATTGTTTAATTTCTTTGATAAGTATTGAGTGCCATCTGATTTTTCATTACCTACTTGTGATTATAAATTATCTTCTTTCATTCATCAATAATGAACTTCATCTATTTATTCAAACTGTGTTACTGGTTTATTTATTGTTTTTATTATTATTATTTTACAATAATGGCTTACAATTTTTTTTAATTTCAAGAATTATCTCTGTCATTTCCTATATAAATAAATATTTTAAAAAAATCCTCAAAGGATGAGAAAGATTCAACCAATTAGTAAAATAAAGAATGAAATTGTTATGAAAGAAAATAATAGGATAAAAATGCAAAGAATTTATGTTATGCTTCTAATTTGTTACCTTTATAAACCCTTATTTGAATTATTGAAGTTTGAATTATGTTCCTAATGTTCTTTTTGTTTTGTTTTTTCAGAGTGGAGGTTGTGAATGAACTATTAACTCATTGGTTTTAATAGTAAAAGTTAAAAATAGCCTAAGTTATTTTAGGTGTCTGTTTGTATTCGTCTAGATGCATTGATGTTAAGCCTTTTAAACCCATTGGAATGCTACCGAAGGGTGCTTAATCTACAATTACAATCATACATGTAATAAATAAGATATTTCCCTTGTGTGATTTGTATAGCTTTAATTTGAACTATACATTTTTGTTTTGTTTTTTAAAGAAAAAGAATCCAGTATTCAGAATTATTGAACTGTGATATTTCTAACTGACACACCTTTATCCTGGTTACATGCACCTTCTATTATTTATTATCTCAACATTTTTAATTACTTGTTTTACAAAATTAATTAAGATTAAAAGTTTCTGTATCAATATGCACAACTTATGTTATATGCGGAATGGCTTCCATTGCTAAAATAACATGTCATTTATCATTTTTCTGTTGATATGTTAAATATCATTTATTGAAGGAAGTTAGTCGACTGTTCTACAAATCATGGGTGATAAATATTCAGGACACAGTAATTTTTAAAGTTTTTATTAGTGCCAAAATTTCAACCTAAACATGTGGTTTATCATCAGGGCGTGTTTCGAGTACTGAAGGTATTCAAGTACTCAGGTCGACACTAATAAAAACCTTAAAAATGACTTTGTTCTAACTATTTATCACCCATAAATATCATTTAATTTCTTGAATTTCATGGTAAGACTATTTATTTGACCGTTATCAGCTGCTTAATCGTAAACATGTGAATGATATAATTATGCATTATTAGTTATCTATTGCTGTTTTGTTTAAAGAATAATTTTTCTGAAAATCAATTTAGAACCTTGTAATTTGTTGAAGTTGAGGTATCAAACAACAAATTTTCATTAAATTTATTTTTTCAATTTTTCTATCTCTTTCTTGAAATTGACGTGTAAATAGAAATGTTTAACTAATATTCAATGTTTGATGTTGTCTGAGGTGGCTATTCCTTTGTGACCTTTGTCTCTCGGGCAAAAAGGAGATGAGAGAAAGAAGAATATTCAATTATTGTTGAATCAGCATATCTTGTTGAAGAAATATCTTCAACTTTAAAAATGCAATTTGTCTACTAAGTAGTAGATCTAGTTTGTGTAAATAGTAGGTTCAGGAAATATGTGATCACATAATTTCTTTAAAATATAGTATTTTGTGTGTATAAAATAAGACCAGATTTAATTTGCATTACTCTTTTAATTATTAAAATGGGTATGTTTATTTTCATATGATTACATAGGCTAAAAAATTTCTTAAAAATAACATGCTGTTAAAATAAATGTTATTGAATAATTTACATTTATAAAAGTTAAGATTTTAATAATTATAAAAGAGCTATTTATGAGGAATAATTTATTTCTATAGTTAATAATTTTTTCAAAGTTCAGTTGGTTTATTAATTTATAATGAGCAATCAGTCCAACCATGAACTAAATAATTTTATCTGTTAATCATTAGAGAACTGAATTAAATAAGAACCGAGAAAATTAAAATTTTATTTAGTTTAGAAATTTCATTTTGTTTCCAATAAATAATATTAGTTTTCAGAAATCATTATTCATACATTATTTATTACCTTCTACTACTTTAAGTCCTATAATATATTATATTAGCAAAGTCATATTATGTTTTATTACATCTTATTTAGTGATATTTAAGACAAACATAATAATACTGATCTGATTTCAAGATTAGTACTATATATATATTACTAGTCTTTCTGAAAATTTGTTTTCAACTTGGAAAACCAGGTCCTCTATTAATAATCAGGTCCTTTTTCTCCTATTAATAATCAAATTCTTTCATACATTATATTTAGCCATTTCTTATAACTGCTAACCAAAGGAGATTGTTATTTATTTCAAATAAACCTCATTAAAGGGAATAACACCAAAAGAACACTCCCCATCCCATATCAGCCTGTGAATGAGAAGAATGTTTCCTCATATTAAAATCCATAATTTTATATAATTGAGTTATTTAACGAGATTAACAAAAAAAGTTATTTTTTTATTTTTATTATTTTCAGTTATTTATTGAGTGATATAACATTTTGTCACATGGACAATAATTATAGTGAGGAAAGACTACATTCGCACTATGTGCACAGAAAATATGAAATATACAGAAGCAAAATAACAACTATTTAATAATAAAAAAGTATATATAATAAAGAATAGTAAAATAACTAATGGTTTCATACAACTCAGGCTTTAACACTACAGAAGAAAAAGGAATTATTTTTTCAGTTATTCTACCATACCCTGTTTTTTGTTTTGTTTTTCTAATAGTTTATTATGATAGGAAGCGTTATAACATAAACAGCTCTTGGTTAAAGCTTTATCAATGACAAAAACAGCTGTTCAGCATAAATTGGTTAACTATTTTTTTAGCATCAATCGTTCATGTCTTCCTAACAGCCTTCACTTTTAAAGTGGGATTGAAAAGTTAATAAAACCTTATTATTATTTTTTTTTTAAAGCAGAACTAAGTTCCAACAATGGTGAAATTGTTCGCATGTGTTTAATGAACTTAACTTGCATCTGAGTAAACAAGAGGGCGACCTTTTCAATATTCAGCTATTTGGTCAAAATATTTTATTCTTTTCAGGCTTATGTCATTTTTCTCAATTAAAGCTTTTCAATTTTGCACATTTGAACCCTGAATTTTGAAGTAATTTACATAATGTTTCTTAATTCCCACTGGAATTAATTTCTTGGCTTTCCCTTATGTTTACTTTCACTTACCTATATATGTAATGTATAGTAAGGGAAAGTATTGTAATCATGAAAAATTTCGAATCTGAGTTTTCATGGGAGATACATGTTTTGAAGTCCCCTGAGTTCAAATAACCAGAATGGTCTCTGTGTGTATGTAAACAGCCTAGGTCAAATATGAAAAGTCGTGTGAAACTGAAATTGCGTATTTAAGGTTTGTATACCTAGGATGTTTCGACTTTCTCAAAAGCGCTCTAACGATATTGTGCCCCTCTGTACAGGACTTAAATATTCTTAGTTTTACTTTATGAATCACTTATCCATAATTTTTTTAAAAGGTTTTCACAGAAAATGTTGAGGATTTACTAATAAACCTTATAATATGCAATATTTACTTACGTTAAGTTATTTTTTCGACGAGCTTCGTGAATAAATGTCATAAAAATTCACAACAACCGATAAAACTCTTTTATTTTGAATTTTGTTAAAAGATCCAGTTAGGGGCATCAGGCCTTCTCTAATCCTGAAGTAGAGGGAATCACATCTGTGTGCTAAAATTTATCAGAAGGGGGTGTTCTTGTGGAATGTAAAATTACTAAAATAAATTTAACACAAAAAAAATATATATATAGCATTTCCAAGTGAATTTCAACCTTTTCCGAATCAAATTAAACTTTTTCCAAGTCAAATTTAACCATTTCTATTTCAAATTAAATCTTTTCCAATTCAAATTCAACCGTTTCCATTTCAAATTAATTTTTCGAATTTTTGAAAATTTTAGATTTTTTTTTAAATAAGGGCCACCCCCTCCCCACAATATGAAGGTCTATAATTATGCTCCCCTAAGAAGAGTTTTTCAAAATACTATCGATTTTATGTTACACTAAAGGATATTGATTTATTGTACCTATTCGGATTTATTAGGGTCTAGTATTATGCTGTCGTGTGCCTAGTTTTTAAAAATGACCTTTTTTTATGATTAGCCCACCGCGTTTCGACTTAAAGTTTTTTGGATTTACTCGATATAAGGGTGTTTTCTAATGTTTCCGAAGCCGTAGATTTTGAAAATGACCTCCATTTTATGATCAGGCAACCGCGTTTCGACTTATTAAGGTTTGTGGATTTATATGTTTTCGGAGCCGTAGATTTTGAAAATGACCTCCATTTTATGATCAGACCACCGCATTTCGACTTATTAAGTTTTTTTGGTTTTGTACGATATAAGGGTGTTTTCTAATGTTTCCGAAGCCATAGATTTTGAAAATGACCTCCATTTTATGATTAGGCCACCGCGTTTCGACTTATTTAAGTTTTTTGGATTTATTCGATATAAGGGTGTTTTCTTATGTTTCCGGAGCCGTAGATTTTAAAAATGACCACCATTTTATGACCAGGCCATCGCGTTTCGACTTATTAAAGTTTTTTGGATTTATTCGATATAAGGGTGTTTTCTTATGTTTCCGGCGCCATAGATTTTGACAATGACCTCCATTTTAAGATTACGCCACACTGTTTTGGATATTAGTATTTGAATTTTTTCAAATCTCTAATATTTAATCTACATTTTATGTTTACGCCACTGCATCACGATTAATTAAACTTTACTCTTAAAATGGAAGTCGTTTTCAAAATTTACGGTTCCGGAAACATAAGAATACACCCTTATATGGAATAACTAAAAAAACTTGAATAAGTCGAAAACCGGTGGCGTTAATCATAAAATGGAGGTCATTTTTAAAATCTACAGCTAAGCAAACATAAGAAAGCAAACCCTCATATGGAATAAATCCAAAAAACCTTAATAAGTCGAGATACGGTGGTCTAATCATAAATGGAGGTCATTTTCAAAATCTACGGCTCCGGAAAAATAAGAAAACACCCTTACATCGAATAAATAAAAAAAACTTAAATAAGTCGAAATGCGGTGGCCTGATCATAAAATGGAGGTCATTTTTAAAATCTACGGCTCCGGAAACATTAGAAAACACCTTTATATCGAATAAATCCAAAAAACTTAAATTAGTAGAATCGCGGTAGCCTAATTATAAAAAAGAGGTCATTTTTAAAAACTAGGTACAGGACAGCATAATACTAGACCCTAATAAATCCGAATAGGTACAATAAACCAATATCCGTAAGTGTAACAAAAAATCTTTAGTATTTTGAAAAACTCTACTTAGGAAAGCATAATAATAGACCTTCATATTGTAGGGGGGGGGAGGATGGCCCTTATTTAAAACAAAAATAAAAAAAATACTAAAATTCGAAACAATAATTTGAATTGGAAAAGGTTTAACTTGAAATGCAAATGGTTGAATTTACTTGGAAAAAGTTTAATTTGATTTGGAAAAGGTTGAATTTGACTTGGAAAAGGTGGAATTTGACTTGGAAAAAATTTAATATGACATGGAAATATTATACTGAAAAAATCTAAAAAGTTAAAATAAATGGAAATGCAACTGCGTTATCATATTTTTTTTTTTTTTGTATTTTTCAAAAGCTATGCATTCGATAATATAGTAAGTGGCCTTCATTTCGAAAAAAATCGAAAATTGACAAAAATTCGAAAGTTGAATTTGAAATGGAAAAGGTTGAATTTGATTTGGAAAAGGTTGAAATTGACTTGGAAATGCTGTATATATATTATTGAATAAAATGATAGAAAAAAACTAAGTTATTGTTGGGGGTACCAAAATATACACTGTGGTTGATGTGTTATACCATCGAGGGACTGTCTTCTTCAAATACATCTGGGTCGAATGGTGTGTTCTGGCCTGTTGACACCTATGAATGTTTTGCCATGTGCTGACATCTATGTTACCTCTTCCTGGCTATTTCTTTTGCTTGGTCGAGATATGCTGGGTCATGGTGACCACTTTGTAGACTCTAAGAGTCAGACTCCATGAGTTGAACTTTAACTCCTCAGGTCACCAGGCATGACTAGTTGCTCATCTTCACCAATAGATGGCGCTCCTGTCTTATGACTAAATTAAAATTATCCATTGATGTGCTCTTAATAGATCCATTTCCCCCACAATCATTAGAATTGTTTGATACTATACACAATCGTAAAATGAAATCAGATGTGATGCAAATGTATAAATTTAACTGATTTGATGGGCGTGGAAAACATGGTAATTAATTGTTTTGGTAATTATTTACGAACGGTCCTCCTCTCGCCATCTTGGCTGAAGTGATGTTATGTCCCGTGTTCTGATAACGTTTACCAAATCTAGCACCAGAAAGCGCCACTATTGCGGAGGGGTTGTCTTGTCCCCTCCACCTTACGTTCATTACAAATAATTACCAATTGTAACCTTTACAATATATAGTGCCCACCATTTTTTTTAACTTGTCGATTTCTTTGTATCTTCAATATATCGATTAACCAAACTTTATATTTCAGATGTTATTATTTACACATATTACCTACATCAATTTTTTTTACCATTATATATTACTAATATTATTTATAATTGTAGTGTTTATATATTGCCCGTTTTTGTTTTTTTAGCTTCGAGATTCAGCATTATTAATGCTTTTCGCTTTCCTTATCATAAATGAAAGAAGTTTATTAACTTAAGTTTTGTTTTAATTGTGACACTTTATCTCTAATTGTACATTATCTAAGTATGTCCAATATTAATACAATTCAGGAAGAATTAAACAATTTTCTATAAGGGTTTTGATGCTGGATAAGGGTTATACTTATCAATTATATGTTACTTAAATCTTCTAGCAATAAAACACATTTTCAGTCTACTCAGGTACATACTGGCAATACCAGATGACCAGTTATCCCTAGCCATTTCCATTGCTGTCTACTTACAT